CAGCACCTCGTACACTGCCGGAGGCGTGGCTTATCACGCCAGCGCGACGTGGTGACGGGAGTACCGAAAGCGAAGAGGGGGGTCTGAAGGAGGGCGGTGAGGACGGAGCCATCCGGGTCTTCGAATCCGAGGACCACGGATGAGCGAGCACCGTCGATTTGCTCAGGTCGACGTGCCCAGCGCGGAGGTTGGGTGATGCGGAGGCGTGCAAGCGTGGGGTTCTTCACGAGCTCGGTCGACAGAGTCGACGTCGAGTGGACAGCGTCGCCTGGAGCTGTCCTGGTGCTGACATTGCCTATGAGGATCCGAGACCACTTGACATCCCTGGAGACGTGTTGTGTCGGGTCAAGCTTGAGGGCAGCACGAAGGGTCGGGAGGTGTTCGTCAATGCGACGGTATGAGGTGGTAGCGGGAAAAGCCAGGACGATGTTGCCAGAGGAGCTCGGGTAGGCCGCGAGTGCAGCCACTCCTCCAGCAGTCGGTATCGCAGCCAGTGCTGCGTTAACCACGCTGACAAGTTGGGCGGGGGGCGTCTGAAGCAGGTGTGCCGGCGCGGAGCCAGCAAAGCGAACCACATACCTCAAGGGCTCGGGGGTGTGCTTGGGTCTGTGAGCCTTCGGGGGAGCGGGTGGGTTCGGAGTCGTCACGGGAGGAGCCGGACGAGAAGGGGCAGCTGCCGCCGCGTACGAGCGCTTCTTGGGAGTGCCACGTACCTGAGGTTTGGGAGGAGGGGGCGCCTTCGCCTGCGGCGGGGGGGCCGCAGTCGCCATTCGAGTCTCCAAGGCATCGAGCCTGGCGTCGAGGGCGGAGCAAAGGTCCTGGAGGGCCGCGGTGAGGTCGGGTCCAGTGGTCGGAGGGGGGGATAGGACAGGGGTGGGTGCTGGTCGATGGTGTGAGTCGAAGAAGGGGGGGCGGTACTTGTCCACGACAGCTCTAAGACGCTGTTTATGGAGATCGTCCAGGGCAGTGTTGTTTCGGTTCAACAGCTCGGCACGGCCGACGACTTGAAGCACTGCCTGATGAATCGCAAAGGCGGCATCGATCACAGAGTCGATGTCAGTGAGCAGCTCAGAGGGTCCCTGAACCTGCCATTGCCGTAAGGCCTGTCGGACAGCTAGTGTAAGTTTGGGGGTGTAGTCTGTGTGCACGAGTTCCGTTGACGAGGAGGACGAGCCCCCGGCGCTAGCGGAAGGAGATGGTGGTTGCGGTTCAAGATCCATGATGGTGGAAGTGTAGTGCGGCGCGAAGGCAGGAAGCAAACACGCCCTCAAACATCGTGACAAAGCCTGTCACGATTAGAGAGTTGGCGCAGTAGCGCCGGTTCCAAGGAATAGGTGACAGGTACGCCGTGATTCCATATATATATATATATATGGTAGATTTCTTGCACGCGTCCGTCCGAGTTGTCTTCACGACTATCAGGCATCATGCACATCAGTACTCAGTCGCTACATAAAGGAACTTGTGTAGAACCGAGGGCGGCCCGCTGACGGTCATCTTGCTCGCCGAAGTCGGCATGGACTGGGAGTACTTCAAGTTGCCGGACTGCAGCCAAGGCGCACATGATCCCGCAGGACGGCCGAATTACAGACCAGCGATGCCTGAACGCTGACGCCAACGGCGTACCCTCTTACGCGACGTCTGATCTCGTGATCAGCCACCCGACGAAGCCTGACCAGATCAGAGAGAAGGTCAGTTTCGCCTTAGCCAAACCCAGCCAACCGAGCAGTCGCTAATATTTTTCCTCCAGACAAATCCGGGCCCGCTTGGTATGTGTGCTGATCGTTCCCAGAGGCAATGATGAACCAAGACCCCTATGTGCATGCCTTCGGTCGCGGACGGTTCCAGGCCGGTATTCTTGTGGATCCCAAGCGGGAGTACCAGTTTGACCCGTCAGACGAGAAGAAGCTCGCCGAGTTCAGGAACAAGATTTAGTACATCTGGGACTTCAACTTCATCATTCACATTTGCCCTGACGTGTCTTCGACATAGACGGACTATCGAGAAGATGAACCAGGTTGCGCCGCAGCACTCGAGATTGCTCAAGGAGGTGAGCGGAATCAGCTTCCTCCTTCGGAATAATGTTAACTTCATGTCTGCTCGCAGACGATTATGGTGTCGAAGCCTTCCAAGCCGTTCTCGTACACAGCTAAGGACACCGTGCGCCGCGCTATCTCCTGCACATTGTCCATCTATGTCCGCCGGACTTCTCGGATCGAACCGTGAAGGCCGGGCTTCATACAAAGTGTTCGATGTGCGATGTGCGAGAGGCGCATAGCCAGGAAGAGCCGTCCGTCTCCCTCGCGTTCTCTTTCACTCTCCCTCTCCTCCGTGTCTGTGTAGCGGTGATTCAGTTGGAATGATTGAAGCTTCGTCGTCTGCGCCGCGTCCCGAGCTGAAGGCTTCGTCCTCCGAAGTGGAGAAGGACGTTGAAGAGTGCCGTGTTGAGGACCCAAACACCGAGGGCACGCTCTTCCAGTCGCGTCTTGGAGACAAGGCCCGCCGGCGTCACTTCTTCTCACCGCTGGATAAGAGTATTGCGGAGGCGGTTCATAAAGATGCCGAGACAGTCGAGTTTACTGAGGCTGAAGAGGTGCGTCTCGCCCGTCGATCATCGTGCTAATATTCAATCGTGCTACGTATGTTTTCAGCGAGCTATGAGGCGCAAGATCGATCGACGGGTCTTGTCGTTGATTATCGGAAGGTGATTACAGTTTATCCGCATGGATCCGCTGAGGCTTACGCACGATCGTCATAGCTACTTGTGTGCGTATCCACGTCATCACTATGTTCATATGTTTCAGTGGCTCATGTTCCGCGGCAACTCCGATACCTCCGTGATTCAATAGTTAATCAGTTTGGTACGTGTTCACGGATGATGTTGAATCTGAGAGATTCGATCTCACTCCATTATCCCCAGATCGAACCAACATGTAAGTTCACAACCGTGGCAGGCCGTCGCTGTTCTCACACGGTTCATAGCGGGAATGTGCACACGGTACCCGCCTTCAACGAGAACTATGTATGTGCACCAACGTTTCGAAATAGTCGTGATGCGCTTACGTCCTCATAGGGAATGACGAATAACAACAAGTGGACACTTGCATTGAGTGTATTCTACATCGGTTACTGTGAGTGCTTTCTACACCGCCTGACTCCCATTCTGACACGACCACACAGGCTTGTTGGAGATGCCTGCCAATGGTACGTCAATAGTCTAATGCCATCTCCGCGCCGCAGTAACTCTGAATATACACATACAGTCCTGCAGCGCCGCATTGGGGCCAATCGTTTGTGAGTACACGCTGTGCTCTTTCTGGGCCATCGCGGACTCATGTATGATATCTGATGATCTTCTGGTCACTTTCAGGTCCATGCAGAGTCACAAGTCCAGACAATACAGATTTTAATCCCTACTCATGGAATGAGCAAGCCAACATTTTCTTCATAGACCAACCCATCGGCGTCGGATTCTCTTATGCGGAGTATGGCGAAGCGGTTGTAAGTTCTGATGGATTCTGTACAGGAGATATTCACCTTTGATATGGTACAGAGTACGACAAATGAAGCAGCCAAGGATATCGCGGCCTTCGTCGCCATCTTTTTCGAGCATTTCAGCAAGTTCAAGGGTCGGCCGTTCCACATGGCCGGTGAATCCTACGGGGTAATAATCTCTGCTATCCATCTGTGCAATGTCGACCTATACTCATATGCTCGATTGTTCCTAGGGTCGCTACATACCCGTATTCGCGTCCGAAGTGTACGACCAGAATTCCAAGCTGGTAGAGGCTGGGATGTCTCCGATCAATTTGACCTCGATAATGATAGGTGCGTTCAACGAAAAGATATTCTACCTGAGAACTGACCTGTTGATGTAGGCAACGGCTGCACCGACTTTCCCTCCATGACGGCGTCATATTATGATATGCAATGCAAGCCGATTTCGGGCCATCCTGTACAAGATATCAAGTATGTACCAGATACTGTCTATTCATACCATGCTCTGACATTCGTGAGAGTTCCTGCATCCGGATGAAGCAAGCAGTGAGCTTCACAAGTAGCATTTGGTCTATATCTTTCCTCACTCAGTTTCTGCTAGTTGCCGCGTTGCGAGAAGTGGTTGAAGAAGTCCTGCGATGACCAGTTTGACAAAATAAGCTGCGAGGCGGCTGACCTATTTTGTGAGATGGAGTTGTCAGATCCGTATTACGCCACAGGTGAGCTGTGTTCCGATTTATCTGCATGTCTCTGTCTCATAGTTGCCGGCAGGCTACAACCCGTACGACATCAGCAAACTCTGGTGGGTGCTCTTCTTTTTGTCGCTGTGGACGTTGCTGATTTGAGAGCAGTGAAGGTCCGATTGAAGACACATTATGCTACCCAGTGACAAAGTAACACATACTCGCTCTTCAATACCGAGCAGATCACTTACCTTCGTCAGGACAATTGCCGCGTATCTTGATAAACCCAAGATCCGCTCGCTCATCGATGTCGATCCCTCACTCACGAGCAACTTCTCCGGCTGCAGTAACACCGTCGCTGTCGCGTTCTCGATGACCGACGATGCGTACTTCCCGACGCAGTACTATATCGCTGCTTTGCTCGAGCGTGGGATCCGCGCGCTAGTATACGCCGGTGCAAACGACTGGATCTGTAACTGGGTGTGTTCAAATGGCATACTAACACTTGTTGGGAGGCTCACGCGGTTTTCTCTGCTCGCTGTAGGTTGGGAACGATCGCATGGCGTTAGCGCTGGAGTGGACAGGCCAGGAGGCATTTGTCTCTCAGCCTTTGAGAGAATGGAAGATCGATGGAGCAGTAGCTGGATTGACGAGAAGCTCAGGGCCATTCACCTTCCTCACTCTGGACGGAGCGGGGCATATGGTGCGCCTTCACGTTTTCTGTGGACCTATCCAGTATTAACGGGGCATTTCGTTGAGCACAGGTTCCGTATGACAAGCCGAAGCAAGCTTTGGAGATGCTCAAGCGGTGGCTGGCACAGGAGGAGATGTAGGTGGTTTTGGCGGATACATGTGGAGATATGTTGCTGCCCAGCTTTGGGCTAGTATCCATTTCAGGATTCATACATATTTTAGAGAGAATTGTTGTCTTCGTACGGTCCCTCCTCCTGCACCTCTCACTGGTGACGAGCTTTGAAATGCAGCAACAAATGCAGAACGAGCAAGTATTGGAGAAAGTGCAGCGCTTGAGATGTAATAATAGTTCAGACTATTAAATTCGAGACGCGTGTGACAGAATTAAATTCGAGACGTTTGTGACAATTCGGAGTACATCACGCGCGTGACTCTCCCCGGCAGGCGACGGTGGCGCGACCACCTCCTTCATTGCCGACGACGACGAGCACCAGTTGCATCCATCTACACTTCTTTATCATATCTTCATCTAGTCTGTTGCCCTCTCAATGGGCCAGTCATCCTCGAGAAACCGCACTCCGCAGGCGCCCCAATACCAAGATAGCACGCATGCTGAGTCCAGTAGCGGCACCAGCACTCCGAGGACTGCATCCGCCGCAAGCAAACGATCACGACGGTCCTCTTTGCGAAGAAGCTTTCTAGGCCTTCTTCCTCACGCCAGCTCATCAGGATCGCTGCGCAGCGACCCGTCCTCGAATGCAGAAAGCACACAGCCCCCAAAGAAACGCTGGCGCTCTTCAAAACGATGGTCTAAAGCCCCTGCATCGTCGCAGCTCGCCGTAGCCGAGCTTGGGCAAGCCAGTTCGTCGAGTTCAGGAGCAACGGACATTCACGGAGACACCCCCGCTGGCACGCGTTCGTCCTCTCCGCTGCTTGCGTCCGCCTCTTGGGAAGATTCACCGGTCGGAGCGAGTGCGGACGTTCTGTCAGATGACGAGCAGCGATTGAGCCAGAGCGTTGGCGCATGGCTTAGTGGGACAGGCCCACCAGGAAATGAAGAGCGTGGCGAACAAGCCGACATGCATGACACGGTGCATGACCTTCCGGAAACTATGTATAGCGACGGCGATGTTCAGAACGCTAACGATCGTCAGGGAGAAGCGAGCGGGACGGCGACAGAAGCAGGCCCGACGGCTGAGCCTCAACCAGAAGCTCCTCGCCAGTTCCCTCCACCTGGCACACTCGTCGTCGTCCAAGGCGTCGTTAATACCACCGATGCACCTGCCCCTACAAGCAGTGGCGGATCTCCCTCTTCGCGCCGTCCTTCTCGCTCATCAACACCTCGTCCACCCTCCATCAGTATCCCCACATCTCTCCGCCGCTCAGCGTCAACCTCTACCCCTGCAGATGGCGAGCGCCACGGGACGCGAAGCCGCCTATCCTCCTTCATGTCGCGCTCGCGCGCCTCTTCTGATCTTAGACCAAACCACGAGTCGACCTCGAACCGCAACTCGGTCGTGTCATCTGACTTGTCTTCCTCGAGCACCAGTCATGAAACCGGTTCCGCAGAAGAGCCATCGTCTGCTGAGAACCACGAGGCGGCTCGGGCTGAGAACGACGGACGCCCTCGACCGTTGTCGCCTGGTAGCATCGATGTTCTAGGAACGCTTCTCAGGTGAGTATGGGAGACAGCAATTTTTGGCTTGACTGACGTACGTCTGTAGCGTTGCTGCTGCTGCGACCGCCGCGTCCCTTTTCTCTCCTGGCCTTGCGTTTCAGTCGGCTAATGGAGCAGGTAACGGACCAGGCACTACCCGTCCAATGTCGCCTACCCCGACGGCAGGCCTCGGTAACATCGGTGGTCTTGGTGGGCTTGCCGGCCTTGGCCTCGATCCTCTGAACACCAACACTGTCCCCGGCGCAACCCAGGGTCAACGGGATGGGCGCGATCGTATCCGAAATGTGTGGGAGAGTCTGCGGGAACGCCTTGGGCTAAACTCGCGGAATCCGGCATTCGGTGGCGTCAACTCTTCTCAAGGTGAGGGCGGAAACGGCTCGGGCGAGGGGCGCATGCGGCCGGGGGAAATGATGCTCGCCGAGATGGCACGTGCGCTCAACCTCGGACTAGGACTCAACGGCGAGGGTGGCTCGGCCTCCTCAACAGCATCCGACGACGCCACTGTCGTACCTTCTGACAGTGCCAGCAGCAGTGACGCGACTGTGACCCCTGCTGTCGAGGCGCCTCTCCCTCCCGAAGACAGTTTCGAACGCTTCCTCATCAACTTGCAAGCTGATCTGAGGGCCGCGCTGTCCGAAGACGGTGCGGGCGCGACGAGTCAACGCGACAGCGTGCCGCAGCCGGCTTCCGCGCCAGCTCATGAGGAGGACCAATCGGAAGCTGGTGCCATTCCCACCATCCAGGTCGAGGATACCTCCCCTGTTGAGGCCGGCGGTACGCTTTCATCTGACGAGCAAAACGATACAGACGACAATGATCTTTCTCCTTTGGCGACCATCTCGGACGACTCGGATAATGATGACGAAGAAGATGAAGAAGACAACATGCACGAGGATGATCACGAGAGGCGCTTGCCGCGCACTCCGACACCGATACCCACAGGTGCATTCCCGTTCGGTGGCGAGCATCGCCAGGGCGCGAATGGCGACCGCAGGCCACCCGGCATCAACCTCTGGCGGCTTTACCGCTTCCAACCGATACCAGCTGCTACTCTGGGCCACGCGGCTAGCACGAGCCCGACAGCCTCATCCAACTCTAACACCGAGGCTGTCCATGCTTCTGCGCCCACAGGTGCAGGCAGCGCTCCTCCTTCCTCCACCTCTCCCATCTTGCAGGCCGCAAGTTCCGAGTCAAGTGCAGTGCCCTCTACGCCGACCACGAACGCGCACGCGAACGTCGTGGTGCCTGTGATCGTCGTTGGTCTGCAATCGGTCGATATGGCGCGCACGCAGGATCGCAACCACAGTAGGCGCGACAGCGCACCGCCTGCGGATGATGGCGGGACGTCGATGGATCCCAGTGAATCTTTTGAAGACTTTGCACAGATGGCTGCCGGCAGTGCAGATGGGCAGACTGGTGGTGCCGGGCAGCCTCGTGGACGGACATGGCAATCGCGTGCTGCGAACGCACTGAGAACGTTGCGTCCTGGACGGAGAGGCGGATCGCATAGACGCTCCTCGGACACGTCAGGTGCTAGGACGTTCTTGATTTATGTCATCGGAGGTCCGTAAATTCTTTCTTTGCTGTGGTTGCAGAGACTAATTATGACAACGATCTTTTCTTGCAGGGTACTATCCTCCGAATCACCATATGGTCACTGGCTCAGACAGCCTCGATTCCTATGAAGCTCTTTGGTATGTCCCTTTCTTGTGCACTTTCAGGTCATGATCTGACTGGTGGCTCAGGGAACTTGCGGAGCTCCTTGGTCAGGTTAAACCTCCTGTCGCTACCAAAGAGGACATAGACAATTCCGGCCTGCAAATCATAAAGTCCTCTGAACTGACTCGGTACGAACAAGATGGCAAATTAGCTTCCAACTGTGTGGAGAGAGTATGTGTACTATTTCCGCCGTGATTTCGCGCTTGCTCACACTTCTTTTCCAGTGCCTGATTTGCCTAGATGGCTACGAAGCGGAGGAAGAACTTCGCTTGATGTCATGCAAACACGCGTTCCACAAGGACTGTGTCGACAAGTGGCTGCAGGTTGGCCGGAACAACTGCCCAGCATGCCGGACGAAGGTGTGTTTGTCCTCACCCGCCTGTTAGGCTATCACTCATACAGACTGCGCTTGTCAGGGTGTGTCCACCGCGGGCGATACCAGCTCTTGAGCCACCATCGCTCCTACGCTGCTCTTCATGTGTACAAAAATGACTCATCCTGCATCATGCTCTGCACGCACGTTCTCGGACCTTTCTCATCTTGGTTTGCCCATGTCACATTCACTTTTTTGCTCTCTTGTTGTTCCTACACCCTGTTGCTCTCACCTGTAGCTCAATGTCAATGGCCCCTACTCCATGTGATCGAAGTCCGTTCCCAGCCGTCGATACCGATATAATGTCTATTACGCTTTCCGAGACTGCTTGCTCTCCTCTCGGATACTGACGCTGTACGATACGATGTGATAGAGGGATATATGTTATCGTGCGAAAGCTCATATGAGATCTGTTCTGAGCGCTGGAATATCATAGGAGGCCACAACGTCCACATGGCCACACAGCGAGCACTAACGTCACAAATTGATCACGCAGTTGAGCTCATCCGGCTAGGCCGTCTTGGTTCATATCGGGAACAATGTATTGATTCTAGTCTTGCTTTTAGGCTATGACCACTAGAGGCCGCTGGCAGAACTCTGGTTCCGCTATGAGATCAGTTCTAGGTCGTTCTTGATCACCTGTTGCGGGATGTTAGAGAGAGGAGGCCATATAACCCCTCGCTGATGTTCTGCTCGAACCGTCATGTCTATCCCTTTACCTGAACCAACAACCATCATGTCTGTCGAGCCTCAGCCATTCACCATTGCCGTGCCTGATTCTGAGCTGGAGCTCCTGCACAAGAAGCTTGACCTCGTTCGTCTTCCGGATGAACTCGACGGAGCGGGGTGGGACTATGGAGCCCCCCTCGAGGATATACGTCGCCTCGTCGCACGTTGGAAGGACGGCTATGACTGGAGGAAGGCAGAGGAAGGGATCAATCAAATTCCGCAGTTCACACGCAACATCATAGTCGACGGCTTCGGGACGCTCAATATCCATTACGCCCATCAGAAGAGCTCCACTGAGAACGCAATTCCTTTGCTGTTCATCCATGGATGTGAGATGTCGCATTTGCGACTGCAGACCTCCTCTGACGAATCGAATCAGGGCCTGGGCATTTTCTCGAAGTTGGGAAGATGCTGCCGCTATTGACCGCCGCATCCCCTGACCACCCTAGCTTCCACGTTGTTGCGCTCAGTCTTCCCGGATTCGGCTTTTCGGAGGCACCCAAGAAGAAGGGTTTTGCTGGTAGACAATATGCCGAGGTTTGTCGGGGCGGCTTTGATAATGTGCGCATCCTGATCCGGCCTAATTTTGCGTCAGGTCGCCCACAGATTGATGGTTCTCTTGGGTTACGATGAATATGGTTTGTCCACCGCATCTCTTCCCATAGAGACATTAATGGATGTTCTCCTTAGTGATCCAAGGGGGTGATTGGGGTTCCTATGTATGTTGCTTCGCTCAGCGACGACGGCATGGTTGTCTTATCAAAAGCATATCAGATTGCCAAAATCATGGCTCATGTATACGGCAAAAGACATGTCAAAGCATGGCACACAAATTTCCCTACGTCAGACCATAATCTCCTGTCTTTCTGTGAGGCGCGGCTGACCTGATCTAATTTGCATCTTGCAGAGCCCCGCCTCCGAGCTTCAGGATGAGCCCCGCAAGATATCTGTCCTTTTTAATGACGCCCTTCACGTTTCGCGAACGTACCGGATTAGATCGTAGCGAGTGGTTCGAGTCCAAAGGCAGCGGATTCTTCAGGGAGCAATCCACGCAACCACAGACGATTGGGTACAGCCTGGCAGACTCACCGGTTGGCCTCCTTGCGTGGATCTACGAGAAGCTCGTTCAGTGGGCGGACGAATATCCTTGGGAGGATGACGAAGGTACGTTGGTAGCGCTATATAGATATCGCCATGCTGACACCCTCCAGTGCTGACTTGGATCTCCGTCTACTGGTTTTCCCGTGCCGGCCCCGCCGCGTCCGTTCGAATTTATTACGAGGTGATGGCCGTCGACAAGCTTCCCTTCGTGAGGTCATTGGCGAGCTCTGTTCCCCTCGGGCTGTCATTCTTCCCGAAGGAGGTACTGGTCGTTCCGAAAGCGTGAGTTACCCGGGCATCTCGGCCAGACACGCTGTTTCAACTTAATAATCCTTACTTGTGCAGATGGACTCACTTTATTGGCAACGTCGTGATGCAGTGCGAGCACGACAGCGGCGGCCATTTCGCTGCCCACGAGAGGCCAGGCGAGCTTGCGGGTGATATCCGCAGAATGTTTGCCAAGGACGGCCCGGCGTATGCGGTGGTTGAAGGGAAGAATGGTTATGAAGGACCGCCGGCTCTCCGTCCAACCAAATCGATAATCAGCAGGGCGTTCAGTAGGATGTCATCTGCTGGTTAACTGACAGGCTGTGATCTTGTATCTTCTGAACTATCACCACAGCGTGTATATTACTTGCTTGGCTCTATGGACTATCTCACGTATGACTTCCAAGAAACAATGATTGATGCCACAAAGTACATGCAGCAGCTGCAGCATCAGACAGTTAACCCGCGAGTGGCCATCTACTGACCTCCTTCCCGATCCTAATGACTATTTCTCTCACTTCGAACATGCCGATGTGCCGCGATGATAGCGAGCTTCCGAACATTCGGTTCAGGTCTGACAGGAGCGACGCAGGCAGAGAGGGTATCGTCGGGAATCGGTGAGAGCAGCTCGTCTGCGGTGGCGAAGGTTGTGATGGCTTGTTGCTATTGGATGTTTCTTCTTCTTCGGAGACCTGATTACTGATGCCGGGAGACAACTGCCGAGAACTTGGCGGTGAGGTTGGGGTGCTTGAGCTGAAGTTCCTGTCTTTCTCAATTGTGCGCGGGTGATCCAACAGAGCCCAGGCAATAGAGATGTGGAATCGAGGCTTGCTATAGAACTCTTGTTGTTTGATTGCGAGGAGCGTTGGAACTAATGCATCGGAAAGTGCCTTAAGCTGTATACACTCAATAAGCTTTTGTAGATACCCTTAAAGACACCATACCTCTTGATGTCCGGCGCCAATTTCAGCGGTAAGGAATGTGCGAGTACGTTCGTCGTTTATGAGTTCGGAGAACGATGCAAATGACGCGTTGAATCTATAGTATACCATTAGCCCCACTATTTTCAGTCAGCAGTCGCGCTTCATCAAACTAGTGGTACTCACGTCTGATTACATTGTGCTATTGCTTTGACCGCACGCTTCAAGTCTTCTCGTTGGTGCGCGCGGAGATATGTTGGTCTAGTTAGTGAAATGTGAAGCTCAAGGCCTCCATCGCCATGCTCAAGTTTTGACACACGCGCTTCGCTGCTCTTCTCGGCGGGGCTGTCGAAGTTTTGCTCTCCGATAGGATGCAGTGAGGGTATGACCGTCTTCGCATATGCATAAGACTGCTTGACAACCTTGCGAAGAGGAGATCGCGCGTCCAAGATCAGCGGAACATAGACGTAGGCAGCAAATTGACCTTCGACATGAGGTGTGGTACGAATGCGACCTTGATGAAGAGCCGGGCTGTCCAAAGGTATGTGAGGAGTGAGGGATGAAGGAAGCTCTGGAAGTCTCCTGTATCATGACAGCTTCAACTGGGGGAACAGGAGGGCGAACGACTCGTGCCGACCTTTTCTTTCGAGGTGCCACGGACGCAGAATTTTCGGAGTCGTTTTCGTCCGAGCTGCTGTATGATACCAGCGAGACAGGTCGTCGCATTATTGATTCTTACAAGTTGAAGGAAGGAAGGAGAAAACGGAAGCAATCTTGCGATCTGACCTGGGCCGCTGTGCAATGAATTTGTGATCAGCCAGCTCAGAGCTGGCACCTGGGCGCCAGTCAAACAAAAGTTAAGCGCTAGTTCGACTCGGTCTCGTGACCGTGTTCCTCGGCCGCGGCGCGTATACTACCGCCGCGGGACTCTGGCCGCCATTAAACCCAGGTCAGATGCCCAAGCGCCTCTTAAATTGGATCCTCGTTTGCCGTGAAGGAGGTCATATGGACATGGAACGGGATTTCCGATTTCGGCGAACATTGCAGCTTGGTTCCGACGACGAGGACGTTGCAGGAGCAAGATGAGCGAAATCCATGGGCCAGGAGGCCCTCTGCCCCCAATTCCGGACAATTTGACTGTCGTTCAATTCATGCTGGACCACCATCATACTTCTAGACCTCCTGTCAAACAGTCTAATGCATGGCTGATTGAGGACGCCACGGAGAGGAGGATAACGCTTGACGAGGTACGACGGCACAATGTCTCTCGTCCACGTCCTTTCAAATGTCTTTCACGTCTGTTAGATTCGGACCCGAGTGTATGGTTTGGCAAACGCGCTGAGCTCGCTTTGGGGCATTAGTAAGTGCTGCTATTGTGTCAATGTCCGCTTCTCTCTCTCATGCGCGATCATGCAGAAGAGGATGATGTCGGTGAGTCGCAAGTGAAACGGGCGAACTACTATAAAGTCATTCACCAGCTGTACAGTCTGTATATTCAGCCCAAATCACGTCGGTGAGTAAATGATGTATATGACGTGATGAGTGCTCACTCTTCATCAGACTATGCGATTTCTATCTGGTGATGCACTAGCATTTGCCTGTATCCTTGTAGAGCGTGGGCTCATGCCTCTCTGTCAGGGCTGTTCATAGACTGGGAGCAACACTGACGTATGCATTCCTCCTCAACGTGTCTATGATGTGCCTCATTCACCGCTAACAGAACTTCCAACCCCGCTTTCACCGCTGACGAACTAGAATACCAACTCACTAAGACCAAGGCTAAGGCTATGATCGTTCACCCGCTAAACCTCAAAGTAGCTCTCGATGTCGCGCAATCCACTGGAATCCCGAACGACCGCATTGTAGTCTTTGATGATCAGCAAGGCGACTTGACTGGTCCATATCCTAGAATCAGCGAGCTCGTGGCGGACGGTCTATCGAAACCTCCTGCATTCGTCGAACGAAAACTGAAGCCGGGCGAGGGAAAGACAAAGTTGGCGTTCCTGAGCCTTTCGAGTGGAACCACGGGGCGGCCGAAAGTGAGCCGTTTGTGTCCTCTGAGCGTGGCTCGACGACCAATCACTTCTCAGGCGGTTTGTATACCGCACCATTCACCGATTGCGAATGTCATACAGATGGCGCATCTGGCCAATCAGCAGATCGCACCATGGGAGAAGAGAGCGTATCGCCCAGGAGACATTGCCATGGCCTGTTCGTATCTTTCGACTGCTGGTGGGATAAGCTGAGCCAACCTCCGACATAGTGCTGCCGTTCTATCGTAATGGATCCTAGCACCTTCTCCTCTTTGCTGTGATTTCTGAGTTTACTATATGCAGACATCTATGGGCTCGTGGTTATCATGCACTTTGCAATATTCTATGGGGTACTGTCACTTCACCAGCACACATGACAAATTGTCTCATGAGCCTGGCTCACAGATGACATTGGTGGTTATCCCGAAGTTCAACTTCGTTGACATGCTTAAGAGCATCGAGCGCCATCGAATCAACTATATACCGTACGCGGTTCGTTTTGGCCCGATATGCCAATACTGACAATCATAGCAGAGTTGTTCCTCCTATAGTAGTCATGCTCTGCAAGGTTCGTACGGACGTGGCATTTGAACGATGGGTGCTGACGGTTGCTTCCAGCATCCTGCAGTCAAGGACCATGACTTAAGCTCGCTGCGGACAATGAAGAGCGGTTCAGCGCCTCTTACAGCGGAGGTTATACGGCAGCTGAGTGTGAAACTGCCGCATTTGAGTATTGGTCAGTCCTACGGTGCGTTATCTCTCATTATATCAGCATTCAGTTTATTCAATGCGCTCATCGCTGACAGGGATGACCGAAACCTGCACCACCGTCACTTTTCCTCAGCTCGAGCAGAAGATCGGTACTCCGGGCAGCGCGGGGAGGCTCCTTCCCGGGGTCATAGCACGCGTGATCGATCCAGACGGGAACCTCCTTGGGTACGGCCAACCGGGACAGCTAGTTGTCTATAGTCCGGCCAACTCCCTTGGATACCTAAACAACGAGCAAGCGTACGTATTCATTGTCATTGGACCTTCTGCCGCGAGATGACATGGCATGGTTACCAGGACCAAGGAGACCTTCGTCGATGGGTATGTCTTCGCTATTGCTTGCTAGCACCCATGGCGACCGAACAACTTTAGGTGGATATATACAGGGGACGAGGTGATCATTAATGAGCAGGCAGACGTCTTCGTTGTCGATCGTTTAAAGGTAAGTCTCTCTCGAAGTCGAAGATTATATTAGCACGGAGTGATACCTGCACATTCCAGGAGCTCATCAAGGTCAAGGGTTTCCAAGGTCGGTATCTGGGTTCATTGGACCCTTTGTGATGATGTTCAGTTTCTATTTCCGCAGTGGCACCGGCGGAATTGGAAGGGCATCTGCTTGACCACCCGGACGTCTCCGACGTCTGTGTTGTCGGCATTCCAGACGAATACAGTGGCGAGGTTCCTTTGGCATTTGTAGTGCCTAGTTCCCGGGCCGTGGAGCGAATGGAGAAAGATCAGGCTGAGATAGCAAACATCAAGGCATCGTTGAAGACGGCAGGTCTGAACTTGTCCATTGCATGCGGGAGGTCTGACTTCTGCAGCCAGCATGTCGCAGCTGCGAAAGTGCACTACAAGCATCTTGCGGGCGGTGTTGAGTTCATCGATGCGATACCGAAGAACCCGAGCGGCAAGCTGCTCCGTCGGTTCCTGCGGGATCGCGCGAAGAAGATGCAAATGGAGGGGAAACTGTCACCGGTGGTGAAGGCCAGGCTCTGACCGTGCTCTGAGCGCACAATGGGTGAGATTGAACCACGTGTCTGCCTGGTTCCCGGCACAATGTATGATCTAGAACAGCATGTCCCCAGTCAATACAATCACCTTCTGAGGTGGTATCAGGCGCTGTGGGTCGGGGTTTCATTCCAAACCGCTGGCTTCATTGAGATTGCGCGGGGAGCTCGGCTTTCGCAGACGCTCTGTCGACATACGCGACAAGGAAAAGATTGATAAGATTAATTTCCGTTCAAAATATCCTACATGGACGTTAATAGCCATCTCGCAGAGTTGTAGGTACTCAGGAAGGTCTCTGACTGCGGCATGCGTGATAACCCCCCCCCCCCCGGGGGATATCGTCTTGCACGTCGTCGCCGTAGGTTGGGCTCTGCAAAAACCGGGGTGCGAACGCAAGCAATGGGCGATGTATTTCAGCGAATTGCTCAGGGGCATTTGTCACCTCATTCGGCTGCGACTGCCATGTTCTCGCAAAGGCGTATCAAGCAGTGCCGGTCTAGCGCACTAATATCGGATTGAATTATCGAACCAAGAATAGGAGTCTTGACACCGTTGTTCAGCTTGTCCTTGGGCCACGACATGGTCAACATTCGGGGCCAGTTAAGTCAGAGCGCGCGCAGTGCTAGATCATTAAGCAAGCCCTCATATATGTTGCGCGGTGAGGATCCTCGCGGTCTGGCTGGCAAGTACGGGAATGCATGAGCTAGACAGGACATACCGTTTCTCGTCTGTTAAAGGCCGCACGGTTTTCTGCCATCCGATGTCAACACTGTCATATGTTCTAACCAGCCGCTACATACGCGTTCAGGCGGAGTATGGCAGAATGTCTTTTAAGACTAGCCAATAAGTTAGTATACGGAGGGAATCAGATACTTAGACTCGTCGACTGGCGCAGTGAATTCCGGTGTCAGGGACCCCAGGTGGGTGGCATCGTGCAGTATGAAGACCAACAGGTGTCGAACTTGTCGCGGTGGCGCTAATTTTCTTTGTCCTCTTGGTTGACAAGTTCTCGCTTCCATGCACTTCTCCTGTACGACACCATGGCCAGAGCTGCAGATTAAATAACAGACAAGAAGGTGTGAAAGGAAGCCCTCCAAGTCGTCAGTGAAGCCCGCCCCATGAAGGAGTTTCTCAAGAAGCCGATATCCTCGAAGAAGATTGTGGCGAAAATCGAAAATCCACTGGCAGGAATATAAGATCATCCGTTCGCGCTGGATCTATCTACCAGATATGAGTTAGGGATAGAAGAAGCCGCGGCAATCGGCAGGAATGGAGGTGAACGGCAACAAGAAATATCCAGAGAGCGAGGAGAAGAAGCCCGCACCGAGAGGACGGCCAAACAATGTATGTGATCAGTCCGCTGTTAGTCGTGCCTCACAAGACAGCTGAGCCCGCTGGACTTCTCTTTTGAAGGCCACTGCGCCGCAGAGTAATGATGAGGAGAGCAGCGAGGAGGATAAGGCAGACGAGGAGGAGAGCCAAGAGAAGTTGAAATGACCGACGCGACCACGTGCAAGTCGATAAAGATTACATTCCGCGATAGTTGGCCTAGCTTTCTTCATGATCACTTGCCTTCGAGGATAGATGGCGTTACAGCTCCCGAAAAGTGAAGATGGGTGATGAAAGAAAGAATGCGGATGAACTTGCGCAGGGGTACTGGAGGAACCAGCCCGACAATGTGGATGGACATGCCAGGGCCGCACCTTACTAGTTCTACGTTCTGTCGCTATCGCTGGACGAAAATGCGATCCTTGACATCCGAAGTAACGATGTTCTCGTCCTGCAACCTCACCAGCATATGTTCGATCGGGCGTGGCATCTCTATTACTAGCTTGCGGAAACCTCCACGAGTGGTCCTAATTACTGGGCGACCTGGTTTCGGTAGGAGTTGCAGTGGTCATCAGTTTTCATGCATAAGCAATTGATGTTTGATTTCATGCCAGATTCAAGCATCTAACTGCGATATACCCTCATCTGGCTGTTGAAAAAGCAACAAGACATCCTGTTGTTTTATAAGGAGGTGACTCATCTTTTCTAACATCGTGGTGTTTATGACATGCGGAGCAGTATCTATGGCGACAATCTTCCATGGCCCCCCAAATTCCAATTTGTTCTGGGCCTGATCGATCCCGACAACCTCGTTGAAGAACCCAAACCTTCATTAACTAAGCTGGCTGATCTTCCCTGTCAAAGCCACGTCTCCGAATCCCAACAGCTGCCGCCAGTTTCTCAAGCAAAGGGGAGAATTAACGTGGGGTGAGCTCTACACATGGGAAGAACGTGTGGCGGGGTGCGCTGAGCTCTGGTCGTCTGGCCGAGGCACTCTCACTGATTACTCGTCATTGCGGGCTCAAGGTACATGATGAATTCGAAATTTTGATGGAGAAGCGGATGCTGGACGTGCTCTCGCAGAAACTGAAGGACGTGCCCGTTATGCCGCTAAGAAAACTATTGTGAACGCACCTGACCACGCCACCAAATTATATGACTACTCCTCCACACGCGATATCTACCAAAAAATCCTTGCACCGTCTAAGGTGAAGAAGACGTTGGGGAGTGCATCTCTGGAAGACCGCGAAAGACCTTGGAGTTCCACACAGGCCGGCAGGCCTGGCCAAGCATTCCATCATCTAATCATTCTGGTGGTCATCTCGACTGACAAGTTGACTCTTTCCACATCGAGTTCGAGACAAGCATCTAACTGAAAAGGTCAAGATGCGTTCATGGAACCACTAGCATGTCGCAACATGCCGATTTACTGCTCTTTCACTTAATTGCCGAGACTTCTTTGTTCTGTGGGTGAGTTTTCAAGGCTTTTGTGCATGATCTTCTATTCCGCCACGCGTTATCACTTTCTGAGTACCTTCCCCACTTCTCCCCATACAACGACAAAAGGAACTGTCATTTTCAACACATGCGTCGTCACAGTCTCTCGCTCTCTTTCCTCCCCTTGTCGGCTTCCCACTCATTCTAGGCATCACATCATGTCCGACTTCCATGACTTTGAACTTGAGTCCCCGCCATGTGGAATTCTACATGTCGGTGACCTCCATTCGCGCAATCCCCGACTTATTATTTGTCCAATTCCATGGCACTGTTGATGCCGTCCTTGCAGTCGTGTGGCTCTTCCGAACGACGTTGTCAAAGACACAAAGGGACAGCATCGGGACTTGCTCGCTTCCACAAGATCAAGAAACTCGTTCTACATGAAGCCGAGGAATGGGCATGCCACGATTGGATTGGGTTTCATGAATCGGCGAGAGAACAGGACGCGAGCGATAAGGCGGCACGTGTCGCCGGTCAGAAGAGGAAGATGTCTGCCGCGAAAGAAGCCGAGGCTCGTTTGCCCGGAGAAACCAGCGGTGAAGCGTACCTGGAAGATGCCCAAGGGGCGGAACAATGATCGGGGGGAAGATGTACCGTCAGCGCAGCATTCTCATCTTGGTACGCTCCATCTGCCTGTGCAACTACTCCCATGCAATCGAGCTGTGCACTTTGGGATGAGGCTTTTTAGCGAGGAGCTGCGTGGCGGCACAGAGCGAGTGATGAATAGTGGAGTTCAACTGGTTGATCATCAATGTAAAGTCCGACTTATATACGGCTGCACTTGGCTTTCTTGGTACCGAGCTGGGTCGCTCATGAGAGAGCTGACAGATGTTCTGCCGCGAGTATGTCTGTCAGTCAGGTACAAGTGTCACACTTTGATACATCTGGAAGTGCGCTAGCGGCAACGATAGCACGAGAACAGCATCACACTTATCCGCATCCAGAGATAGATAGTTGTGTATACGCTTTCGTCTACATGCGAAACTTAATATGCGGATCCAGATCACTCAGCGAACGGGTGGCGGAATCATGGATTCGACCTTGTAAAGTGGCCGGAAACCTGAGAATGCCCGAGATGCCCGCTTGGCTCCTCTAGTTAATATCGCCGGCTGTAATCCATGCTGACCCACGACCACGAGTGCGTGGGTGAGAGCTATGTATTCTCCTGCCTACCAACAGGAACGCAGTGTGATGGACATTAATACGTTAAAACTCGGACGTCGGATAATTCACCGTGTGCCCAGGTGACATTTGCATATTATCAAGATCCAAACATTCCCTCTTGCAGGTATTGCAATCTGACTTGACTTTCCTGTAGTAGCATTGCAAGGCACCTCTCCATAATTGGACGAACGTGATGTCTGTAGATCTGTAACTCCGGAGCAATGGGGACCAACCGGTAATACTATGGCCTTAGGCCAATCTTGGCGCAGCCTGCACCCTGCCAACTAGTAGCACCTGGTGTATGTATCGTCATCCCCTACGTCAGAGCGACATCCTGTGAACGTACGGAGGCGACCATTGGGCCACATTTTCTCGATTCTATGTGATCTGTTCAGCATCTTGGTTGCCCTAGTTTCTCAGCATCTCGGACGTATGTTGCTCCGATTGGACCGCATGGCGACTTTCTATGCTTGGGGAGTAAGTCCCAAGTTCAAATGGAGTCTGCCGAGACTCTGGTTATTGGCTTAATGTATCTCATGCGGCGCTGTATGGCAAGAACTATATCAAAGCGGAAGCAGAGTAGCAGTACTGTGACTCACGGGCCATATTGGTCAGAGTTCTGTCGCGGTCGTGCCTGTCATGATCCCCGGTCAGATCCATATAGATACTAATCTGGCGGATCAGAAAGAGTTTGCGTGATAATACCGGTCATCTGGTCGGGCACTGCGGGGAGCTCGGGGACTATCTGCCCTCTTGCTGGCGGTTAAAAAGATGGAGACGAGCGCCCTTTGAGCCGAATAGGCCGATAGATCAGTGGTGCTTCTCACGACTGCTCAATTCCGTCGGTTGACGGCTACCAGCGATGCGGATAGCCTCCTTGCTACGGATATGAGAAGCCCATAGATGCTTCTCCTTACACGCATGATCGTCTAGACAATCCATAGTAATACTCCTCAGGAATGTGTGGGACCCCAGCTGGCCTCGAGCGCTCTGTCAGTAATTTATTCTCCCGACTCGGAGTCGGGTGTTCACTGGCCTTGGACATCTGGAGGAGATATAACACTCGAAATTGATTCCCCACATACCATTCCCTCCGGTGCCTGCCCTTCCTTCTGCCCAGATCAGAAGCACGATGTTCTATGTTCTCGCTGTGACAACTCCGCTTCTGCTGCTTGCAGGAGTCACTGCTTATGTTCTCTCTACCTTCATTTCACTTTTACTTCGGCAGGGATTATCCCCATTGCGCGACCTTCGAGGACCCGCCTCCCCTTCCTTCTTCACGGGCAACCTGCGCGAAATGCACGACCAAGAAAATAATGATCTAATCGCACGTTGGGAAGAACAATATGGCAGCACCTTCGTGTATCGTGGCTTCATGGGCGGACGCAGACTAATGACCACAGATCCCCTTGCTGTTGGACACATCATGGGCAGGGGTTATGATTATCCAAAACCAGACTTTGTCAGAGACAATCTGGCCAGTATGGCTGTCGGGAAGGAGGGCTTATTAACGGTAGAAGGCGAAGACCATCGCAGACAGGTGCGGTGAACATACGGACATTTGCGATGAACGGAGAATTATTGACACGCATTCTTCTGCGCTCCCATCAGCGACGAATTCTTGTGAGTTCTGATTTCTCGACGGAGTCTGTTGCGGTTCTGGCCATGGGTGCGCGTCTACCAGCGAACGCGGTCACGTTGATGCCACGTGACCGTCGCTCCTTTGAGTCCCACTGTGCAAGTGCCACCGATGCCAGGCCCATGGCATCGCATGATATGCGCACATTATGAAAAGTTGCTATGGCACAATAATTAACACCATGTGTTCTGAACGGGTTTCCCAGAGAACTATGCTTATCCTTTCTCACTCCGGTTTTTGTCTTGATACCAGACGCAAGCCTTCACCTCTTCACACATCAAAACCTTGAGCCCCGTGTTCTGGGCGAAGGCTGTTGAGGTGCGTCTCTCATTCATTAAACCTCTGGTGGCAGCTCGCACTCCCAGGGTAATCTCGGACGAACTTCGCTGTCTGCGAAGTAGTTCTTGCTCTAAGATAGCTCTGGCATGACGAGCCTTGATGCAGTATGAGGCTTCCCGCTAATTGTCTTCTCCACAGCTGCGGGGCGTATTGCTGGACAGCTCATTCTCCTCTTCCCGGAACGCCGCTCCTGCAGATCCTTTTGCAGCAGGTTTGTCATCAAGAGAAAATGACGTGCAAGGCCTCCGAAGCACGTCTTCCGTAACCAGCTCCTTCCTTCTGAACCCTTTCTCTTCCTTTCTGCCGTCCAAGTCCATTGCTCGGCACAAAAAGAAAGCCGTGTCCTTGGCCGCAACAGATCCAGCACCATACCCCAGACCTCCGCATTCGGAAGGATCGTCCTCATTGCCTGGTCTCCCAGAGGTCGACGTCCTCGCGTGGCTCTCGCGCGCAACCCTGGATGTCATAGGCGAGGCAGGCTTTGGGTATCATTTCAACTCTGTCGCAACCGCAGCTAGAGGGACCAGAGACGAGAGCGAGCTCGCCAGAGCTTTCGGGATTATCTTCGATTCTGCACGAAAGTTCAGGACGTTGACGATTTTGCAAGCATGGTTCCCTGTTCTGTCCAAATTCGTGAGTGGCTAGCGTAATGATCACGTCTCATCGCGTCTTCCCTGGAGTCTCTGCAGCAAGCAGCCTGCTAATGAATGCTTTCCGTTGAACAGCGCAGGAACAGTGCCGTCGAGAGGGAAGCGCGAAATGTCATGCACAGCATAGGCCGCTCCCTCATCTCAGAGCGTCAAGCAGCCATCCTGGCAGAGCAAGCTGGAGAACCGCGTAGCGATTCCCAGTCGATTAAAATAGAAGACGATGGAAGAGATCTGCTCACAGTCCTAAGTGAAAAACTTTCGCATCGGCAATGTTGTCGGGGCTGATCATAAGCAACCAGTCCGGTCCAATATGTCATCTGTCCCAGCCCAACGACTCACACCTACAGAGACCCTATGCCAAATATCCACTTTCCTGTCCGCAGGTGAGCGCCGTATCCCATATCCCACTGTCTAAGTGAGAACGGCTCTGAGTCATCTCGTCAGGCCATGAAACCATCTCCTGTGCATTGGCATGGGCCCTATACGCCCTTGCGCGCGCTCCGAGCGTTCAAGGGAAATTGCGGGATGAATTGCGTGCTATTCCCTTCGACCTAGAGTACTTCAATCCGTCCTCTACACTACCTCGTAGTCTCTTTGACGACATTCTAAACCAACCCTACCTGGATTACGTCGTACGCGAGTCGCTGCGTCTGCACGCGCCGGTCACGGCTACAATGCGCGTAGCGGGTATAGACGATATGGTTCCGGTATCGCGACCGTTCGTCGACCGCCACGGCCGGGAATGCACGGTCATACGCATAAAGAAAGGGGACATTATTACAATTCCCTTTCAAGCAATGAACAAGGACAGAGATGTTTGGGGAGAAGACGCGTACGAGTTCCGTCCCGAACGCTGGGAGAGTCTGTCCACGGATGAGAATGGAGAATGTGAAGATGAGCCAAAGCAGAATAGAGCGCAGAGGAGAGCAAGAGGCCCCGGACTCTGGGGAGGTATGATGACTTTCGGAAACAGTAACCCCACCAATGGGAACAGAGCGTGTATCGGCTACCGCTTTGCAATCAACGAGTGGGTGATTTTCACTGTCCTTGCATAATTCGGAGACAAAGTTGCGATTTGATTATGCAGGATGAAAATATTCTTGTTCGCCCTAATTCACGATATCGAGTTTTCGCTCGACCCATCCATTGAGATTGAAAAGAAAATCAAGTACGTATTTTGTCGACGCTTTAAAATAGGTTGTTCCACTCACCGACTCCACCCACATCATGTAGCGTTGTTACTCGGCCCTCCGTCAAGTCGGAGCCAGACATGGGGAACCAGATGCCATTGCGGATACGCAGAGTCCCTGAACATGAAGAGTTCATACATACTGGTGAGTCCCTGTGCTGTCAATGCACACTCGATGTTGTCGAGCGATTTAGGATCGATAGCAGCGTGATCAATCTAACCAGCGATACGTCTCGCTGGCAATACGCGTAGCCTTACGGCTATGATATCCATCACAGTAGATCGCGAGAGCCCTTTGTGATAGTCACAGATGTTGAAGATGTTTGCACTCACCGTATAACCCATGCGTTAGGACGAGGTTGATCGTTGATAAAACACACGTATCATGACTGATCGTAGGGCACTGCGACGCTGATTGACGAGCCGCCCAGGCCACCACATTCATCAATGTTTCTGAGAAGAACTCGATATTTTCCAACAGGTATAGTTACTGCGTACAGATAGATGACCTCGAAATTACAAACGGACGATCCATTCTCGTGTAGTTCGAGACCGTCTAGGGTCCGTAGTTCGTTCCGTCACAGTTTAGCGCAATCCACTAGACCTGATGAAAGATCAGATCGTCAGCAGTGTGCATGAAGGCAAGAGTAGAATAATGAGAAGTCAGGGCCCTCAAGCGTATAAAGAGGACCAGGGTGTTTGTCGTCTGTGGATCCGACTGGTGCACAGCAAAAAGTTCATCACGGACGCAGCTTGAACAGAAACTCACTGTAAATTCATGACAAGCCATCCATAGACAAGCCCATGAGCGTTCGTACATCCACTCCGCATCGCATGATGGTAAGCGATGAAAAATTTGGGGCCTTGTAAATGCGGCAAATTGTTGGCCTCTATTTTGATTGTGGCAATCGGATGCGAGCGCTTCTGATTTTGGAGTTTCGTGCATCTGTACGATGGCAAGTGTATTGGCCCGCGTCCAGAGGGCGTGTCGTGTTCCTGTGCCATGCTCCATCTCTCGAGCAGCGTATGTAAGACGGAGAATACATCAGACACCCATTGGTACGTTTCATGAAGGCCCAACTTCCTGAGCAGATATGACCAACGGTTCAATCCGTTTTCTACAGCTCTCGCAAGGAAGCAGAAGACCGTGGTCGCCGAAGAGGATGACATCTTTGCCTCTGCAGACGCGGGAGAGGATTTGTTTGGCTCCATCGAAACAGCACAGGAAGCTGATGCCATATCAAGCCCGTCCATAGGCGATGTCAAGTCATCTCGCAAGCTGAGCACGAAGGATCGGCTGAAGAGATTCGATGACTTGCGCAAGTTCGTCGCGGACAGGATTGGCAGAAAACCTGTGGAGAAACTTCCTCCCGTTCGCAACACGGCATGGCAGCATCTGTTCATGCTGGCCACAACCAAGGAACAGATGGAAGAGGTGGTGAAGCTGTTCCCTCTCTGGCGAGATTCGAAGAGAGTTTTCGACGAGCAGGCCGCGAAAGTCTTCGTTCGTGAGTCATTAGTCTTTCTGTATTTCAGTCTCGTCTGAACACACGCAACAGGCCGTTGCGAGCAGCTGCACTGTCCGACGCTCGCGTTGAATGTCTTTAGCGACCACTCAAAATACGGATTCGACCTTCCTTCGCTCCCGGTAGCGCGCAACCTCCTCTATGCACTTCACGACGAACATCCCTTACAAGAAACCATCACACTGTCTGCGCTCTTCGGCGTCTACAAGCTCCAGCCTATATCGTCGGATCTGGTGTCTTGCGCAATGCTCACCTTGGCATGCTTCAAGCACGCATCGCCGGAGTCGCTGGTGATCGCACGTGAGATGGTCCCCCATTTGCAGGCGCTGTTGGCAAACACCGATCCGCGTTCTCAGGCGCTACCGCCGGTGCGTGTCACAGACGAAGACAGGGAGAAGGCATGGTTGGCTGTGACATTGGCGAAGATCGAGGAGGAGCTGCAAAAACATGGGATCGAGTATAGGTGGTTGCGGCGGTGGCGGGAGGATAGTGGCCATGCTCAGGTCTCTGCATAACATTCGCTATTTGCTGTGGTAGTTCATGTTATGCTGGTTCAGCCCGCTCATGCGCCCACCAATTTGATGCATTCTGATAGCACATGCACCAATGTACTGAAAGCACTGGCCGGACGAGCTGACATGTAAAGCATAAAAGAATCACTGCCAGCACGCCGCAGATAAATAAGTCAACCAAACAGACGGAAACCGAGAACGTGCAATGAATGCTAGTGTACAAATGTGAAATGCTAATATTGCTGCTCCCATGTGGCGGGTTGTCCCCAGTGACTGTCGAACCAGGTTTTGAGAACGTCTGTGACCTGGTTGTTCCAGCTCTCTTTCATGACATCGTCATTCAGACAAAGCAGAGCGACATTTGGGTTACGCTCAATTCTTCTCAGCATAGAGGATACCTGTCCGGGACTTGTAAGCCGTTCAAAGGCTGACGGTGTGTCTCCTACAATTTGATGCAACAAGTCGACCTGTTAAGTCTTTCAAAGAAACTGATTCTAGCAGGAGCACACACCGATCACGTATCGGTAACGCTGCATCAGTTGCAAGATCCACTGTCGCACATTGACGTTGTGTGTGGTGCCTACGACAGCACGCAAAGAGAAGTCACCATCGTGCCAATCGTGAACCAGCGGCAGATGAGGCTCCTCATCTGTTCGATGTGTGCCAGCTGCTGGCGCGGCGACCGGAGGCATGACTAACTCTGGGAGAGGCAGGAACGCAGAGAGGCCCTGACTGCCACTGGCACGAACAAGTGCCTTTATGACTGCATGTTGTCAGCACACCACACCTCAGCGTGGGCTGACCTGAGAACAGTACGTACCGCAGTCACCACATTGCAACTTATCGAAAGCGATACCTTTGAAGATATCGCTGGCGCGATTACTAGCGTTGGGCGAGAAGCATTCGTCAAATGAGATACTGCACGAGGGTAGTCCTTTCTCGTCCGTGCCGGGTGTGAATGTCGGCCAGTGTTGTTGTCCTCTGGTGCCCAGGCCCGAGTACGGATATCCATCCAGCGATGCTGGAAGCGATCGTGCATCAGTGCAATCGCTCCAGCGAGAGTAAGATTCACACACCAAAAGCATACGAAGTCAGACTTTGCGGCTTGAAGCCGCTTTCCTCTAGCACCTTCGCGACACGCTCCTTCACCATTGTATCTCGGAACCCACTCTGAACCTCCAGTTCGTTCTCACCCAGCACGCCACCGAGTTCCGCCCACGCCTGTGTCGCCTCCTTTTCGCCCCAGCTGCCGTCGACGCCGCCCACGCGCGCGACGACCCAGGCCCACAGCAGCGCCTCTCTTGCGCGCTCGACGACAAAGTGCGCGTGCATGAAGAGCGCATAGACGTCCCCGTCGCCGCGCTCGGTCTCGCGAAATGTGTGCGTGGCGGTCTTTGCGAACGACTCGGGCCACACCACCGCCATCTCTTGCAGGAGTGCGCGGGAGGCGGTTTTGGGCTCGTGCGCGACGTAGGGGCGGTAGCGGGCACCAAAACGTTGGCCTGATAGTTCATGGAGATTAGAGAACTTCTCAATCGGAAATGAAAAATGAATAAGAACGGGATTCGTACTTAGCAGATAGTTGGTCTCACTGAGACTCCGCCATTCGCCTATCGTTCGGTCAGTGACTCGTGCTGGTTTGACGAGGAGATCCGGTTGCATGTGTATCACAATGCCGTATGCTGTGGTAGAAGGTAGAGTGTTCAGTTGAATGTCATGTAGGCAACAACCCATCGCACGAATACTAACATGAAGTGTAAAAGCTGACGGGAGATAGTTCGTTCACCATGAACGTATCATCATTCTGTGTCACCCATGAGGACGCGAAATTTCTGGCGGAAACACAACATACCATATAGATACTGCGTAAGAACCATGTGAGAAATTGACTGCCAAAATGAGACGCCAGACAACGTACAAGTATTCGGATATATCGTCCACATGACTGAATTGTGATTCGATAGCTAGACTGTACAACAATTCAAGAGGGCTTGCAGTATACGATGAGATCATTTACCTGTTAAAGCTCGTGCCAACGTACGGACGGAAGACTTCTGCATGATGAATAATAGAGAGCTCAACGCCGCCTTCTTCCCACTTGTTTGACGCTGTTCCCCTGCTCAAATCCAGCCATTGTGGCATCTGGCCCAGCCTCCACGATTTCGGATCGTGTACTTCCAGCTTATCTGTCAACCAATCGGGCATGGGAAAGTCGGACGTCAGGAGGCGAAAACGGCTCGCATGACCTTTGAAATTGGTGAGAACAGACCGCATGGAGTACCGGAGCTCGTCATGATCACTGGGGCACATGAGGCTAACGCGTTCAAAGCGCAGCAATCGACAAGAGTGCTCACCGATACATCCGCGCCTGACTGGTCGCCTTCGCAGGTCTGTACGGATCGTTTGGGCTGTAATGGCTCTGCGCAGAGCTCTTCGCCTCGTCCAAGAGCACATCAGAACCATTCACCCATGTCCACAGTATGTCGACAGGTTGAATCTGCTCTGCGTGGCAGAGCTCGCCGCGGGCAAAATGAGCCTCGAGGCACGAGTCTGACAGCTCGCGGACCGGTCGTAATGGTGTTCTGGGTGGCGAAGGAAGAGGAAGCCGTGCCGCTTTGAAGGGGAGGTATTGAGAGAATTCGATGAGCTGTGCAGATAGAGCCAGCTCGGACAGCCCGATATCATCGACATCGACTAGCGTGTGTCTAAGGAGGAGGAACAGAGTAAGCAGCGCACCCGTAAAGGCGGCGACGCGCAGTGCTCTTTTCCTTTGGAAGTACAGGTTGCCATAGTTGGCCGGCAGGTAGTTGCGCAGGTAGTTGCGCATGCTAGCCAGCTAGCAGTGTCCGACCCGCATGCAAAGAGTGAAACGAGTACAAAAGTGAAACAAGTACAGAAAGCTGCGACGGGTGCCTGAGTAAGGTCCCATCGACGACTGCTGCGGAGATTCCGCAGTCGACCGTTGTGTGTCGGCTAGTCGGCGCTCGAACCAGAGCCACGGTGTTCTCCGATCATTAATCTTTCGGTCGTTGTCACGACAAAGGCCTAGGGATTATCTGAGTGCCGCCCGGGCCGCTGTTTTAGGTAGACGGAAAATTTCAGGTCAGACGAGCCAGGGTTATCATAAACTAAAATTAGATTGAACCCATTCGGATCAATCTTGATCAGATCATCAGGAGTCGGGGCCTGCCGAGCCTGTCCTGCAGCTTATTTTGTCGTGTGGCCCGCGATTCCTGATGCGCTTAGATTAATACGTGCAGAAATAAGCTGATCCACATACAGTTATCATTTGTATCAGCGCCGACACATGTTCAACACTGCACCTGGCATCTTGCAGAGCCATCGACGCTCTCTGAAACTCCCAAGCTGCTAGTTATGACGATCAATCAGCAAGCCATTCTCTGTCGCGGCCAGAAATGTGTCTTCAAGAACGATAGTTATATCGTCACTTGTGAGAGATGGCGGCATATTCCCGGCCTCAGGTGGCGAGACGTCGAGGCTCAACGTGAACCGAGTCCGTGATATCGCAGAGTCGCCCTGGGTTGACGCATCTTGTGAGAGAAGACTAGACTGGGCGTCCGCAGATTGCTGATAAACCTTGAAATAGTTTTAATCGAATTTGTATTCGCTGAATGAGATGAGCTCGCATACGAACTCGAACAGGAGTTCCCTTCAGGCGGAAGTCGCCCTCCAATGCCAGTGTTCCTCGCGCTGGGTCACCAGAGATAATTTGATAAATTTGTTGGGGCTTCATGGCGACGTTAGCGCTGCTGGATCAGAGTTGAGCTGTACGTGAGCACACCTCGTTGTTCAACGCCCACAACGTGGCTACATAGAAATGGTCCTGCTCAGAGATCCAGCCTATATCGTCGGATCAGGTGTCGTGCGCAATGCTCACCTCGGCATGCTTCAAGCATGAATCGCTGGCGGTCGCACGTGAGATGGCCCCCAACATGCAGGTGCTGTTGGCAAATACCGATCCGCGTTTTCAGGCGCTACCGCTGGTGCGTGTCAGAGATGAAGACAAGGAGAAGGCATGGCTGGCTGGGACATTGGCGAAGATTAAGAAGGCTCTGCAAGATCAAAGGGGGGAAATATAGGTGGCTGCAGCAGTGGCGAAAGGATAGCGGCCATGCTCAGGTCTCTGCATTACAGTCGCTGTTTGCAGGGATATTGCGAATGCGCTGGACGGACGAACTGACATTTAAAGCATAAAGAATTATTGTCAGGATCCCGCAGATAAATCATTTAACCAAGCAGAAGGAAACCGAGAATGTGCAATGAATGCTGGTGTACAAGTGCGAGATGCTAATATTGCTGCTCCCACGCAGCAGGTTGTCCCCAATGACTGTCGAACCAGGTTTTGAGAACGTCGGTGACCTGGTCGTTCCAACTCTCTTTCGTGACATCATCGTTCAGACATAGCAGAGCGACGTTCGAGGTCCGCTCAATTCTTTTCAGCATAGAGGATACCTGTCCGGGACTTGTAAGCCGTTCAAACACTGACGGCGTGTCTCCTACAATTCAATACAACATGTTGACCAGTTAAGTCTTTCAAAAGAAACTGATTCTAGCAGGAGCACACACCTATTACGTATCGGTAGCGTTGCATCAGCTGCAAAATCCAGTGTCGCACATTGACTTCATGTGTGGTGCCTACGACAGCGCGCAAAGAGAAGTCGCCATCGTGCCAATCGTGCACCAGTGGTAGATGAGGCTCATCGTCTATTCGAGGTGCGCCGGCTGCTGGCGCGGTGACCGGAGGCATGACTAACTTCGGGAGAGGCAGGAATGCGGAGACGCCCTGGCTGCCGCTAGCTCGGACAAGTGCCTTTATGACTGCATGTCATTAGCACACCTCAGCGTGGGCTGACCAAAGAAAGTACGTACCGCAATCGCCACACTGCATCTTATCGAAGGCGATACCTTTGAAGATATCGCTGGCGCGATTACCAGCAGTGGGCGAGAAGCATTCGTCAAATGAGATCCTGCACGAGGGGAGTCGTTTCTCATCCATGCCGGGTGTGAATACGGGCCAGTGTTTTTGTCCCCTGGTGCCCAGGTCCGAATACGGATATCCATCCAGCGATGCTGGAAGCAATCGTGGCGTCAGTGCATTCGCGCCAGCGAGAAGAATATTCACGCACAGAAAGCATACGAAGTCAGACTTTGCGGCTTGAAGCCACCTTCCTTTAGGACCTTGGCGACGCGCTCCTTCACCATCGTATCTCGGAACCCACTCTGAACGGCCAATTCTTTCTCATCCAACACGCCGCCCAACTCTGCCCACGCTTGCGCTGCCTCCTTTTCGCCCCAGTTGCCGTCGACGCCACCCACACGCGCGACGACCCAAGCCCACAACAGAGCCTCCCTTGCACGCTCGACGACAAAGTGCGCATGCATGAAGAGTGCGTAGACATCTCCGTCGCCACGCTCGGTCTCGCGGAACGTGTGCGTCGCGGTCTTCGCGAACGACTCGGGCCACATCACCGCCATCTCGTGTAGGAGTGCGCGGGAGGCAGTCTTGGGCTCGTGCGAGACGTACGGGCGGTAGCGGGCGCCGAAGCGTTGGCCTGGTAGTTCATGGAGATCAGAAAACTGCTCAATCGGAAACGAGGAAGGGCACAGGAACGCGAGTCGTACTTAGCAGATAGTTGGTCTCACTGAGGCTCCGCCATTCACCTATCGTTCGGTCAGTCACTCTTGCTGGTTTGACGAGGAGATCCGGTTGCATGTGTATCACAAGGCCGTATGCTGCGATTTATGATAAAAGGTTCAGTCGGATGCCATAGTCCAGAACCCATCGCGCGAATACTAACATGAGGTGTAAAAGCTGACGGTAGATAGTTCGTTCATCATGAACATATCATCATTCTGTGTCGCCCGTGAGGATGCGAAATCTCTGACGGAGACACAACGTACCACATAGATACTACGCAAATCAGGTGAGAAAATTGACCTCCAAAATGAGACGCCGGTCAACTTACAAGTATTCAGATAAATTGTCGACATTACTGAACTGTGACTCGATGGCTAGACTGGAAAACAGTTCAAGGGGGTTTGCGATATAGCATGAGATTATTTACCTGTTGAAATTCGTGCCAACGTACGGACGGAAGACTTCTGCATGATGAACAATAGAGAGCTCAACGCTGCTTTCCTCCCACTTGTTCGACGCTGTTCTCTTGTTCAAATCCAGCCATTGTGGCATCTGGCCCAGCCTCCACGACTTCGGGTCGTGAATTTCCAGCTTATCTGCCACCCAGTCGGGCATGGGAAAGTCGGATGTGAGGAGGCGAAAACGGCTCGCGTGGCCTTTGAAGTTGGTGAGAACAGACCGCATGGAGTATCGAAGCTCGTCATGGTCGCTGGGGCACATGAGGATAACGTGTTCAAGGTGCAGCAATCGACAAGAGTGCTCACCGATACATCCGCGCCTGACTGGTCGCCTTCGTAAGTCTGTACGGATCGTTTGAGCTGTAATGGCTCTGCGCAGAGCTCTTCGCCTCGTCCAAGAGCACATCAGAACCATTCACCCATGTCCACAGTATGTCGACAGGTTGAATCTGCTCTGCGTGGCAGAGCTCGCCGTGGGCGAAATGAGCCTCGAGGCACGGGTCTGGTAGCTCGCGGACTGGTCGTAATGGTGTTCGGGGTGGCGATGGAAGAGGAAGCCGTGCCGCTTTGAAAGGGAGGTATTGAGAGAATTCAATGAGCTGTGCAGATAGAGCTAACTCGGACAGCCCGATATCATCGACGTCCTCCAGCGTGCGTCTAAGGAGGAGGAACAGAGTAAGCAGCACACCCGTAAAGGCGGCGATGCGCAGCGCTCTTTTCCTGTGGAAGTAGATGTTGACATTGTTGGCTAGCAGGTAGTTGCGCATGCTAACCAGCTAGCAGTGTCTGACCTGCATGCAAGAGTGAAACAAGTACGGAAAGCAGCGACGGGTGCCTAAGTAAGGGCGCATAACTGATTGGCGACTGCGGAGATTCCGCAGTCAACCGATGGGCTATGTTGTGTGTCGGCCAGTCGGCGCTCGAGCCACCGCCACGGTGTTTCCGATCATTATTTTTTCGGATCGATTGCTGTCACGACAAGGGGGTTATCTGAGAACCACCCCGGGGCCGCTGGTTTATGCACAGATGGAGAATTTCAGGTCAGACGAGCAGAATTATCATGACTAAAATTAGATTGAGTCTTATCGGGTCGATCTTGATCGGATCATCAAGAATCGGGCCCTGCCGAGCCTGTCCTGCAGCCAAACTCCTGATGCGCTTAGATTAATACATACAGAATAAACTGATCCACATACAGTCTCCCTTAATATCAGCCCCAGCACATGTTCATTACTGCACCTGGCACCCTGCAGAGCCATGGACGCTCTCGGAAAGTCCCAAGCTGCCATTTATAACGATCAATCAGCAAGCCATTCTCTGTCGCGGCCAGAAATGTGTCCTCAAGAACAATAGTTGTATCGTCACTTGTGACAGATGGCGACATATTTGCGGCCTCGGGTGGCGAGACGGCGAGGCTCAGCGTGAACCGAGTCCGTGATATCGCAGATTCGCCCTGCGTTGAGGCATCTTGTGAGAGAAGACTAGAGTGGGTGTTCGCAAGTTGCTGATAAACCTTGAAATACACTACGTCAATTTTGTATTCGCTGAATGAGATGAGCTCGCATACGAACCCGCACGGGAGCTCCCTTGGAAGGCGCAAAATCTCCCTCCAATGCCAGTGTTCCTCGAGATGGGTCGCCAGAGGTGATTCGACAGATCTGTTGCGGCTGCATGGCGACGTCAGCGCTGCTGGATCAGAGTCGAGCTATACGTGAGCGCACCTCATTGCTCAAAGCTGACAACGTGGCTACATAGAACTGGTCCTCCTTAGAGATCCACTCGGCCTTAGTGCTTGCTTCTTGTTCTTCAAGCCCATTTTGAGCGCGCTCAATTGCTGCGAGAAGCAACCGGGTCGGATTAGTGTTATCCAGGGAATGTATGAGGTTCCCCTCAGATCTGACGAGGCCGTTTCAGAAAGCCACTCGAGAAGGAAGCCGACACGCCAGCTCACTCTGTCACAATCATAGGCGGTGTCAGCGCTTGCAGTCCGGGGAAGGCAAGATGGGAACGCGATGGTGACGGGGATGACAAGCACAGTCCGACAGCACCAGAAGAGTAGATGGAGTTTCCCCGGAACAGTGTGTACGGTCTTCCGGTGATGAACGGGGTCGATGCGCCAATCATACCTATCTTGTCGAGACGAGTAAATGCGACATGTTTGACTGAAGATTGGAATAGCGGCTTACCGATGCTGGTCGCGACCGGTAAAGTATGAAGCGCGTTTGACAGACCTTCCGGGGACCCATCGGACAAGTAAATTACAGTGTCTAGATCATCGCGTCTTTTCATGATAATCTGCACGGGGTCATATGCTCAAAACAGGTTGTGCTCACTGCAAAGACTGAATCTCGGGCGGAAGAGCATATTCACGGCTATTCTTGGCCCAGACATCGTCCCAGTGAAGGCCATTCCTGTGACTGGGAGCATCCGCGCGTCCATTATCGTCGCTTCTCCTGTTCGAATGCCATCGTCCGACCTGTGCGGCCTGCCTGCCGGGGACAGTACTCCGAAAAGGGGTAGCACTGCTCTTGTCGAATACCGCCACAGAGCAACTGAATGCGCCTTCCCTTGACAGCATTCCATTGTCTAACTGAGATGAGAGACATCCAACAGACTGCTCCGTGAGCGAAGTCAAGTGCGATACCAGGGAAGAGACCTCTGACGCATCGTGAGAAGAGGAAACCGAGAGCGCGAAGAACGTGATCTGGGAGGAGAAAGACGAGCGGATGCGGGAGAGATGTGAGAGGATCTCCGAAGAGCTTTTTGAGAGAATCGTGCTCATGTGGAGGGCCATTTCGTTCAACAACAGGGTGCGTGCACTAAGCTACTATTTTCAGGAGGGAAAGTCAGAACGCGTGACCCGCTCCGAAACGTACCGTCAGAGGCTGACCGCTAGATCTACAAGAGTTTCACTCCCTGTTCAGATATACTTCCGCGCCATATGGCTTAGCATGTAGTACCAGATGCCAAGGAGCTTGGACGGCTCAAAGCGGCCGCATCTGCGGCGAAGCGTGGTCACCTGATCTACAACCGTGACGCGTTAGTGGCGTCGAATAGACACGCGTGTGGCTACACGCTCAGACGCAGTGATCCCACGAGCAGAGCCATACAATCCACAAAAACACTGTTATTTCATTCTAATTTACAATACACAGATCTACAAGGAATCCGAGAGTCCGTGATGAAAGATGAGATGCGAGACAACAAGATATGATGAGAGATGTTACATTCTGGTATCATGAGCAATGCTGTAGAGCAAACGACTGGAACGTACCGATAGCAGCGAAAGAGAGTGGAAGAAGAAAGGGCTTATACGTCATATCGTATTGCACGATACGTCTGACAGTCTGAAGGCTATGGAGAGCCGTCCAGATTCTCGGGACTCCCAACACTAGGATGCGACGGTTCTAGCTTTGCCACGTTCTGTAGAAAGCGCTCCACGACCAGCTTGCCGCGGCGCAGATTCGACAGGGATATTCGCTCGTTCGGCAAATGGGCCTGGTCCTATAGTGAAGGGCGTATGAGCATGCACCGTCTCATACAGAACAAACACCCTGATGGGCTTACCGAGCTCTGGCCCATTGGCAGGTGGAGCGCATGGCAGGAGAACTCTTTCTCTAGATACGGAAGGGACGGTATGGACTGCGAAAATACTTAGCATCCTGACATGCACGTGTACTCAAGATCTAACGGCTCACCCCGCCCTCTCGTATCCGCAGAGGCTCCTGCCCCCACTCGTCTCGCACTGCGTCCTCAAGTGCGTGGAACCACGGATCATCCAGGTTCCCGAGCCACCAGTCCGCGGTTCGGTCTATGCGGACCTGCAGGACCAGCGAAGTCAGATGTTGATCACAACGAGCGAAGACCGCGAACGGTACCTTCAGCTTGTTTGGCGAGTGCATCTTCTCAAAGGACCACTGAAGATGTTCACACAAGGCGTTCGCGACAGTGTTCAGATCCTGGTCCGGCACGATGCGCAGGGAGACATGAGCTTTCACTGTCGCAGGTATGACTGTCGAGTCTGCGATGGAGACAAGTAAGCAGTATGTCCCAATTTCTCCCATAAGATGACATACTCCGTGGACCAGATACCTCGACATTGTGCACTGTTAAAGACGGTTCGCGCCAACGTGCAGCAAGTGAGGATGCTGGCGTATGCGTGATCCCTGAAAGCACCGAGTATAAATGCTCCTCCTCTCTCGTTATCGGGTGCACACTGTCATCTGAGGAAGAACATAATTATTCAGCCTTGCGATTCAAACGAATCTCAGGCATACTCACAGAATCCGGGTATTGTCACGCGATTTTGCCCATCGATGAGGGTGCCGAGGAGCTTGAGCCTACAAGACAGGACAGATCAGCTATTTCAGCATCTCGCTAGACCTACCGAGCACTTACATGTCCAGCATAGGTTCTACCGTAGCTCCTCCATCCACGCCAGAATGCCGATCGGGTCCTTTGCAGGAAATCTGAAAACCCACCATAAGCCCGATGAAGAGCCGAGGCAAGCGAGCTCCTCACCTCGACGTGACAATGCACCACCCCGCGTAATCCATACGTGATGCAAGGCGTGTCCTCCGCAATCCACGTCGAATTGCTGGTCCACAAATTCCTATATGAGCGAGGATCCGCAGTGCGCGGGAGTGCAACGTAACATACCTCACAAGAATAGCATCGATCGGCCCGATTGCATCCTATCACACGAAGTTGTTCCCGTTAAGCGTCAGCCAACACTGCCACAGAGCATGCTATCGAGCTACGAACCTTGTTCTTCCGTACCGTCTCAGCGAATCCTCCGCTCCCCGCTTCCTCCTCACCCTCGATCAAGAGCACCAGATCAAGATCAAGCGCACGTCGACGGAGCAATTCTGCGGCCGCGCACGCCACAGCCACGACGGGGCCCTTGTTATCAGTTGCGCCACGGCCATACAGATAGCCATTGCGTCCAGTCAACGTAAAGGGATCAGACTGCCATCCTCGGTGAGAAGCGGCGATAACATCGTAGTGCCTGATGCAGGACGCATATCAGCGGCGATCGTCTCCCCGCGTATGGAATTAGACAAACCCGTAAAAGAGGATTCGCGGACGCTTGCGCTTCGTTTGCGTCCCTTGGAAGGTGGCGAAGACAAGGGGATTTGTGCTGTCACCAGTCGGTAACTGTCGTTTCATGATTGGTGAGCATCATGAGAACCTTGACACGGCAGGAACACACCAATGAAGACACAGCTCCGAGCTGAGTGAAGCATTTGCGCAACCAGATCGCCGCTTGCCGGCAATCCTCCCGATGCGCAAGGGAATTGCTGACGCTCGGGATCGAGACGAGTTTAGATAAGGCATACACCATTGTTTCTGCCGTATAGACGATCAGCTTCTTGAGGAAAGGAGACAAATGTCAAGAAACCCACCATTGCTTGCGTCGCCGAGATCGATATCAAATGTCAAGGACAATGGACTAAGCAGCTTCAATTTCGGTGGCTCGACCTCCCAGATCTGACAATCATTGTTGGATATTGCAACGTCAACAGCGTGCTCTCAAGACGCACTTTGATGTTATCATCGTTCGCGCCTGTCACCAAAGCGAACACGGCCGGGGAAGAGCATGCTGTCGTGTCCGATTCGCGCAGGTCGGCATCGGCAGATGGGGAAGATGGAATGCTGGTTACAATTGAGGAGAGGACGATTCCTTCGTGGGCTTTCCAGGATGCAGTGCAATCAAACTGGGAGGACCAGCGCTACCAAGACCGTAAGACCCGCCACGTCAACCGCTGTACATATCCCACGCTAAACAAGGCGCACCTGTACTTCTCCGTTGGCAGAGCATACATATAAGTCTGAATGGAGTAGTGACAAGGAAAGGATGTCCACATTCTAGGATGACGAGTCAGAACCATGCATGCGATTCACATTGATGTAGTTTTACCTCAACCACGATGAGAATGCGAACAAGAGTTCGAGTCTCAAGGTCCCAGACCTTGACATGCCCATCTTGGCAACCAGCGAAGACCGTCTCACCGCGCACTGCGACCGCGAGCACTGCACCTGTGCAACACTCGAACGTGTGCAGGAGAATCGGTGTTGGGTTCCCAGGAGCCAATTGCCACAGCTATCGTTATGTCATCAAACCGAAGCGCCGAGATTTAGCCAGAAGCGCAGCACTTTAAGCTCAGTGCACACGCACCTTCACAGTCTCATCGCCACTTCCGGTGACGAGCTGTAGATCGCGCATCTCGCCATCTGCCTCCGCTCCGAAGGGCGGATCGTCCGAAGCTTCACGCGAGCTCGGGACCAGCGCCATGCAGTAGATATATCCGTAGTGGGCGGAGTAGATCACATTTGCTGGTGGTACCTGCAGCATGATCAAGGGACGCTGCAGCGCTTGCGTTGAGCTCGAAGGCGAGCCGGATGTGCTCGGTAGGGAGGATGACGTCAACGGAGGTGTCGGAGGAGGCGAGCCACTCGAGCAGCCCAAGCACGTCGGATTGCGTGCGAATAGATCCGCGGGGCGGCGCTGGTATTGCGGGTAGCTGTCAAAGAACTTGTGCACGCGACGTGTTGGTGTGGAGCGCCCGCTGGCGTCGGGCGAGTCGAGGAACGTCGATCCGGAGGCAAACGAACTTGAAGAGGGGAATGGCGATACGGGAAAGGTGAACCACTGCAGAGACGTGTCTTGGCACCCGATGTAGAGTGTCCGAAGCGCAGGAGACCAGGCGAGCGAGAAGAGGTCGCCTGCATCAGTTTCGCCGTGCGGATTGAGAATATAGAGTGGACAGAGAGACCGCGTGCTCCAAATCTGAGGTGAAGGAGAGGTGAGAGTTTATTGCGCAGTATACAACTACGACATACACGTATTGTGCTGTCGCCTGTGTAGTGTCTTCAGCATGACCAGCGAGAGGGTGACAGTCGCGCAATGCTCACCAGATGCGCTAAAGAGCCACTCCTTGTCAGGGGCGTACTCGAGGGCGAGGACACTGCCAGTATGTCCTCTGAGCGAGGTCTTCAGTTTGAGCGTGTGCTTGTCCCATACCTGCGCATGCACAGATCCGATCATTCAGTATCGAACATCGATAGCGTGATTGGCGGGGCGAGACTGACGGAGATATCTCCGGTGGGGCTGCCGCTGTAGACGTGACTCGCGTCGGCGGCCAGACTGAGGACAGAGTTCTGTTCCTGGCGGAGTGTATGAAAGAGCTTGGGGGGTCCGCCAACGTTGTCGAACGGCCTGCTGAGAGATGCTGCTTCGTCGCATTCGCCGTTGAGCTCTGCGGACATGACGAGACACATGCGGACGTACGATCCGGGATTGTTGGACTCAAAGGTTTCGCCATTTTATGGCGAACCGACGTAGGGCTGCTGGGATGGCGTTTCGGAGAGTTGGCAGGTTAGAAACGGAAGATGGCAGATTGGAGGAGATGGAATGGAATCGGGAGGCAGAGAGAGGTGGCTCGGATGCTCCCGTGCTGCGCTGCGCCTCCACGCGACTCGCGACCTCGAGCGTCTATTACGCCTCGTTTCGCCATCCTTACTCAAACGCTTCCTCCACCGCATCAAGCATTTGCGATTGATCCAGTGCATTTCCATTCCACAGGTTCGCGCTTACTGGCACCCGTTAAAACTCGACGTTGGCACTCTTGAAACTACTGCTGATCCACTGCCGCATCGATCCTACCTACTTGCTCACCCGGATGCCTGTGACGGTATCTGTTCAGCATCTTGACGTACCGGGATGGTGGGGGTGCTAATCTCGCCGTCATAATCGCGAACGACGTCTATCGCCAGCCGTACTGGATCTTTGATCGTACTCACGATGCACGCCCGCCGTCCGATGCTCGTGGGGACGCCAAGCGGGTTTACAACGGCTTTTAAGCCGCAAGTGACCTGTGCTTTGATGCTGCTATGTGTATGACCTCGGATGCCTGGAAGATACCGTGGTTACAACTGGAAATTTAGCTGACACTGCGCAAGGGCTGAAGTATCTCGGCCGCCTGTAGACAGCGTGATGGTCGTTGTTTCGGTTGTGACATTATTCGGGCGACAAAGGCTCTTCTTACGTATGTGGTCTCAAGGTGCAAACTCAGATGCTAGGTCTTGCCTCCAAATCAAGCGAGACGTTTGCTCTAATCTCAGATTGAAGTCTAACAGTTCAATCACAAGCGTGCGTATTTATGCCAGGCTTCCCGCTTTCGTTGACTGCAGTGTTTATTGATAGACAAAGATCATTTCCATGGTGTCAGTCGCGTGGAATCAACTACTAGATCCCGTCGAGTGTGGTCGACGTAGCAGACGTGCACTCACGACATTCTAATGCGCACCTTGCGCAATGAGCATTCCGCAGTTCAGTGATGCCGGTGTGTTCTAATTGCAGCATAGCTCCTTGCTTTGGAAATTAGAAGGAACGAATGCGCTGGATTCTCGAATGACAGAACTTTACCATGCGTAGGCCTCAGAGCTCCGAGGAGTGATGCGCTCGTCCAAGGCTAGAATGTGTCAAAGTATGTGGTCGCCGACGCTCGGAATGACTGCTGATGCAAAGCCAATAATCGCGTCATACTGCGTCCGATGCCCGGAATTACGGAGGCAAGTCATCGCAAAGAGCGCAATTCGCTACGCTGTATAGGGACCTATTTAGAGCCACTGATGAACGCACTGGGCCGCAGCTTCGTCGGCTCGAGATCACGCATATGCAGGGTCAACTGTTTGGCTACTCGCTGCCCGCTGCTTGACTGGCAGGGGCGAAAAGCGCTGGGCTATGGATTTATATAGAAGCTCCAGTAAAGACGAGGCGCTACCAATACCGACTTGCCCGCGAAATGGCGTCGTCGCACCAATGCAATTCATCAGGCTATTGTCGGTTCTTCTTGTCGCTCAGGGAGCGCTCCTTGACACGCTGCTGTCCTGATGACCTCATGCGTCTTCACTCCAGTCCTCGACCTCTGGAGTGAATGTGGCATTGGTGGGAAAGCACTCGGCGCTATTACTTTCGTCTAAAACAACAAGCAGAACAGGGTGATCACCCGGAAGTGCGGTGGGCTCGCTGAAAATTGTGGCACTAAAGCACGGACGCATTCGCATATCCAGACATTTTATTGATGCTTACGTCCTTCGCAGTGGCTCGCTCGTTTCGGCCGCAGCATCGGATACAGTCATTTGGGGGGACGGTGACAAACAATTGGTTCGGGGCATTTGCACGACTTTACAACCACTCTATTCGACACAGGAGATGAGTTGGTCACGATATATGCAAATAAATGCCAGAGTGCTCAACTGCAACGGACATGCACGTTCTATACTGCTCCCGAAATAATGAGCTGCAAAAACCCATGCCGTTCGTGAGTTTTTCTGCAACATCGTGACATATGAGATGCGCTGAGAAGTACTGCTGCAGAGGTATCTTGGCTTCTTACGTCGCAGATTGTTGCCTATATATTCCAAGGTTAGGCAAATAGGAACCCCTATAGATTCGTCGAGCCGTGTTTCAGGGCACGTGCTATCAGTGCTGACCGAGGTCAGATCATGATCAATGCTTGACAAGCCAGTGGTTCCATGATATCTATCGAAACTTTGACTGTGAAGAAACCGGTTCGGTGGACACTGACAATAATACAGACTACGGTACCAACGAGGACAGACTGTCGAATTCATTCATAGTATAGATCGTCGTGCAGCCATGCGGTGGCCTGGCAGGTTTGCACAGTGCACCGCTAGCCTGATTTTGCACCTTGAACTCAACGATGGTCACGATCGATAGTAACAATACAGGTGTCGGAAAGCAATTCACATTGTCCAACGATCAACTCAAAATCAGTGCATGTTCTTGGTACCAATGTCAATGTGAACAGAGACCTGGGTACTCACGATGGCTGTGGATCTCATTTTCAAATTCGTAGTACCTGGATCTGTTGAACACCCCGGTGTGGCATTTGGCTTGTCCTGAGAATCAGTCTCTCACATAGAATCATCTACGAGAACTTACGCGGGGCTGCTGCAGCGGCTCGTTGGAGTACACATAGAAGCAAGCTGAACAACTCACTTACGTTCCTGATGCGTTGTTCTCCGCGACTCGAATGAACCCTTACGAGGTTCCATGACCTCTAACGTTCTCATTGCTGGGTGACCAGTTTTTGTATCCTTGTCAGCGAAGACGACAGTGAACTCGTCGTGCCTCATAAGGTCCGGTTAGTGGATGGCGGAAATCTCAACGAATTTTCATGCAAAAGAGGACAATGAGATGCGCATGTGAGCATTTGAACATTTGAACGGTGGACCGACTCGTGATGATGATCACCCTCAGATAACGCGAGAGTTCAAACGTTCAAGACTGGCAGCGTCCTGGGAGTCTGGGACGCGCCACTGTTCGCGTCCTTCGCGGCCGTTGCATGACTTCTCATCAGGAAAAACTCAAATCGACTTGTGACTCGAGAACCTCCTTTTTGACTTGTTCTTGCTGGTATTGGCTTGTGCATAGTCTCCCGTGGGCAGACGAGACAATTCCTTCATCCTCCGCAGGAACGCTCCGGATATCCTCGTCTGACCAATAAGTGCACAATAAGAAGCTTCCGACCCAGAAAAAAAGTTCAAAACAGGAAGGCCCTGAGACTTTCTCGAACTTACTGTCTTTTTTGGCGACGGCAAGCGGATCAAAGTGTCCTAAGCTGTAATTGAGTTTTCCTGATGCCGGCTGAGCGTGCGTTCTCTTCCATGCTCATAAACAGCGGTCTTGCTTCGCTGAAGCCGCTAGTAGTGGCAGATGGTCATATCACACCGTGCTATTGGTCACCGGGGCTGCCACAAGACTATAGCATGCTATAGGATAATCCATCCTCCCATGTGCCTCCCTCGATAAAAACCGCGATTGCATTCTTCAGCCGCAACATCCGCTGCCCTTTATCGTTGAAGCTACTTGCTTGACTGAGCAAATCTCGATGTTTACTGCAAGTCCCCGACTCAACCCACCATTCCGCGCGGATCACATTGGTTCGCTCAAGCGGCCTGTTGCTCTCCTCCAGAAACGAAAGGAGTTGGACGAGGGGAAATGCACTCAGGAGGAACTGCGAGTGGTTGAAGATGAAGCCATAAGGAGCATCATCAAGATGCAGGGAGACGTTGGGATCAAGGCGATCACGGATGGCGAATTCAGGAGGTACGTCCACCGTTTTGAACAATACTTCATTGTAACATGTTGATTGACGACACGCGTTATAGACACATGTTCTATGATGGTGTGTTCGACAACCTTGAGGGAATGAAATACATTCCAGTCGGTTCGTCCGATCCATCGACTTACAGCTTCAATGACCAAGACTGATCAATTGCGTGTTGCCTAAAAGTACCAATTGAGTGGTTTATGGTAAGTCGGGCTGTGAGCATTTATAATACAATATCTGAAAGTTGTGATGATCAGGATTACGTGCCTGATGTAGACGCTTTCAAGCAACATAGCTTCAAGGCTGCCGCGTCTTATCTGTGCGAGGTCAGATGACTGCGGCTTCTTTTTACGCGTTATCCTGATCCCAAAATACTTTTATCTAGTCCAAGTTGAAGCGTATCAAACCTTTCTATGTTGACCAATATGAGGCGCTAAAGCAGCTCACGAAGCTGGAGGTGCGTTTCTGAGCATGAGCACGTCACGCAGATGGCGAGATGATTACTTTGGCATCCATAGGAGCATGGCCACATCAAAATTACTATGTGTGCTCCGGAATGGTTCCACTTGCGCCACGGGCCATACGCGTACCCCAAATCTGTTTACAAGAATGACGGTGGGTGGTCAACCTCAGACGATGTGGACGTCAATGTAACTTCTCTCCATGTTGGACAGAGGAATACTTTGCGGACATCATACAAGCGTATCGTGAAGAAATCAAGGACCTTTATGCCGCAGGGTGCAGTGCGTATGCGTTCTGCTCAGTGTCTTGTCGCTATTCACCGCATATTCTACTCTACAGGAAATATCCAGTTCGACGACCCGCTCCTCGCCTTTTTCTGTGACGTGAAGATGCTCAAGGGCATGGAAGAGCAGGGCGTTGATCACGAAGCTCTGCTCAACCTGTACTGCCGTGTATACCAGGACTTGCTGAGAGGACGGCCCGCGGACATGACCGTCGGTATACATCTGTGTCGAGGGAATTTCAAGGTGTGTGTTGGCACGTGCAGCATAGCATACAAGAGTTAGATATACATTGTGTTCATAGGACGGACGCCACTTCAGTGAGGGTGGATATGACCGCATCGCCATCAAGCTCTTCCAGGAGATTCCTGCTGATACCTACTATGTGCGCACCCGTATTTGCCTCCATCCTGGGACAGAAAAGAGATATTGATGGTTGATATGTGCAGTTGGAGTATGAGACCGAACGTGCAGGAACCTTTGAGCCACTCCGTTGGCTCCCGCGAAACAAGTCCGTCGTCTTGGGTATTGTCTCCAGCAAGTTCCCCAAGATGGAGGACAAAGAAGGCCTGATCAAGCGAGTGCACGAAGCAGCGGAGGTGATCGCCAACGGGGATCAGAAGCGCTCCAAGGAAGAGGCGCTGAACCAGTGCGTCCATCGTCTTGATTGTATTTGACCATTTCTTATGCTATTCCGGCATGACATTGTAGGATCTGTATCAGCCCGCAGTGTGGGTTTGCGTCGCATGCGGAGGGAAATCTTGTGACGGAAGAACATGTGGTGCGCAAGCTGCAGTTAGTCGTCGACACGGCCAAAGCGATTTGGCCGGACGCCTAGGTGCGATGTCAATATTGGGTCTCTCAGTGACCATTTGGTTGTACACTATGCATATTGCGGTCTGCTGTGAATTTCTGTTGCTAGCGAGAAATGTTACGCCGATTCTAGCTCATTGCTCGCATCTGTGAGTCGGCTGCTTGCTTGCATAGCGCCGACTCATTCTCAGAAGTGATGTCGTGTCAGAAGGTGAAATGTTCAGCTTTCCACGCGCCTGCTAGCTAGCCGCGCATCGAGCAACGCCTCGCAGGATCAGCCATCTCTCCATCTCTCCCCGCAGGTCATCTGTGTATCAACTTGTTGCACACCGTCGCTCCGAGGTCATATGTATACGATCGCTTTCAGCTGTGACAGCCATCTCGGCCAATGTCTGCTATCCTCCGCTTCCATCAATGTCGGCAAGCTTCGTCACACAAATGTATGACTACTGGTCTGGTCCTCACCGTGCACATGCGGTCGTAGGGAAATGCTGAACATGTCAAGATGCTGTTGGTTGGAAGAACTTCCAGACATGGTCTACAAGTATAAGAAACAAGATTCTTTGCCTGCCACTCACCCCAGACATGGGGCCATTTTTCTGCATGTAAAATGGAAAGAAAATGTGAATTAGTATTATAAAAATTGGGTATCTATTTGTCAAACCGGCAGATTGCTTTACACATTGGGCATTTGTAAATGATAATGGGATTATAAAATATGCTTAACCATATCGTAAGGGCAAATCTTATGTCTATTTCATGAATTTAACACAAGGATTTACGCACACTACAATTAATGTCACAGATTTTGGATATATGATGGGCAACCACACTTTTGCATACTTTGTCTTTTAGAAGGCACTTTGGAACTTATTATCACACAGGATATGCATAGATGGCAGATTATGACTCATTATTTGCGCTCGTGACAAAGTACAGACGACTAACTACTGTCTTTTTAAGACATAGATCAGGTCATTATACGACACCGTGATCTCCACCGGCTGCGGACGCGGCTTTTTCTTAGACCTCCAACGAGGCAGCTTCGCTTGAGGCGGCCGTAACAACCATGTCCCCTCGCCACCTGATACTACAAATGCCACTGTACCGGTATGTTCACCTGCGATGACCAGGGCATCATTGTTGATTTTGGGAGGGCATGTCTCGAACGACGTCGCAGGAAGTGTGTATCTTCGATAAAGCCCACGTCCTAGGTACGATTTCACGGGAAGCTGGTCGAAGCCGGACAAAGCTAATGTCTCGTCGATACAAAGGTCGACTTCGCAGCGCCTGTTGTCGACAACGCGGATGTGTTCGGTG